TATATATATATATATATATATATATATATATATATATATATATATATATATGTATATGTGTATGGTTATGTTGATGACTTATGTAATGCTGGTGGATGCTGATGCTCACTGGTTGATGCTGCTGCTTATTGGTGCTGCTGCTGGTGATTGATGCTGCTGCAAGTTGCTGCTGCTGCTGCTGCTGCTGCTGCTGCTGCTGCTGTCTGCTGCGGTTGCTTTAATTGCTGCTGCTTCTGTTGCTGCTGCTGTTGCCGGTGCTGCTGCTGCTGCTGCAAGCTGCAGCTGTCTAGAGGCATGAAGGGGGCTGAGAGTGCTTGCTGCTGCGCAGGCAGTGGGACAGAGGCCCGTGACACTGGCGGGGTACAGCATGGGGGCTCGAGTCATATTCTACTGTCTGCAGGCGCTCTGGAAAAAGGTAAGCAGCAGCTGCTGCTGCTGTTGCTGCTGTTGCTGCTCTATCGGTTGCTGCTGCTGCTGTTGCTGCTGTTGCTGCTCTTTGGGTTGCTGCTGCTGCTGTTGCTAGAATGTAGTGATACTTGTAGCGTGCAGAAACTGTGTTGAGCTGAAAGGCAGTTGTGGCAGTGTGTTGCTGCTGCAGCAGTTGTGGATCTGCTGCTGCTGCAGCTTTATCTCCAGCTGCTGCTGTGTCTGTTGCTTTTGCGTGTTCTGCTTTTCCTGTTTTGTCTGTTGCTGCTGCTTTACCCTCATGCTGCTCTGCTGTTGCTGTGGCTGCTGCTGCATGCGCTGCAGCGTAAGTTTCACTGCGTGCATGACGTGGTGTTGATGGGCCTCCCAGCCTCGATGAACGCAGCACAGTGGCGGCAGGCGCGGCAGGTGACCTCGGGCCGTCTGGTGAATGTCTACTGCCGCACGGACTGGCTACTGGCGTTCTTATACAGATGGATGGAGTTCAGGTTACAGGTTCGCACCCAGACACAGCTAGCCAACCAACCAACACTTAGCCAGCTAGCTAGCTAGCCAGCTAGCTAGCTGGCGAGCTAGCTAGCTAGGGAGCTGCAGGCTGGTTGGCTGGCTTGGGAACTAACTAGCTATAGGTCGGGGAGGTAGAGTTGTTAAGAGTTGGTTAGCTAGCTAGCTGGACCAGCTAGCTTGTGGACCCTTGCACTAGCTAGCAGAGAAATAGCTCTTAACCCTTCTAGGGGGAATTAATTATCTCTATATAGCAGCTTCTGGCAGCCGTCTCCATCCCGCTGCATCTTATCTGCCCCATGTTCTCTTGGGGCTTCAGGCGCATGCATGCATGCATGCATATAGTGTGTGCGAGTGTGTGCGTGTGTGTGTGTGTACAGGTGGCGGGCCTGGCGCCCGTGACGTCTGTGCCGGGGGTGGAGAACGTCGACGTGACGGGGCTGGTGAAGAGCCACGCCCACTACCCCGAGAAGGTCCCGCAGATAATGTCTTTCATTTCCATCGAAATGTAGCAGCGCCTCAGCCCCCAGCTGCCACCACCACCCTATGGAGACGGCTAGCTAGCTAGCGCTCGATGTGTGCATGCCCCTAGCCAGTGTTAGCTAGCCAGTGCTAGCTAGCCAGTGCTGGCGAGGTGTGGGCCCCTAGCATATGTTAGCTAGGTAGTGCTAGCTAGCTTGCGCTAGCTAGCCAGCACTAGCTAGCCAGCGCTAGCTGGAGCTGGAGCTGCCCCTCTGGCTAGCTGGCTATGAGCTGCGTCTGGCTCCCGGCTTGCTGCTTTTGTNCTGGAGCTGGAGCTGCCCCTCTGGCTAGCTGGCTATGAGCTGCGTCTGGCTCCCGGCTTGCTGCTTTTGTCTGTGGGTCTGACCCGCACCTGTAGTGACGAACGCTGCAGGCCTGCAACGGCGCGACGCGCCACGACTCTAACTAAGGCATCTAGCTAGCTAGCTAGCTAGCTAGCTAGCCAGTTCCAGCCAGGTAGCTAGCTAGTGTTGGTATCGCTGGATGCTTTGGCCAAGGCCAGAACGGCAGCGTGCTAGCCGTAAACTACCGCCGAAGCAGAACTGCAAAACAGAGTTCAAATGGGCATCCCCAAAACTTTACTTGTTGCTGCTAGGCTTGTTGCTACTGCTGCTGCTGCTGCTGCGGTTGCTGCGGTTGCTGGCGCTGCTGCTGGTGCTAGCAGTGATCGCCGTGCAATGCGCTCCCGCCTCCCGCATGCGGTGGTTCACTCTTGCGCTGTTGCTGCAGCAGCTGCTGCTGCAGCAGGAGCAGCAGCATCTGCTGCTGCGCGTTGTGCTGCAAGTTTGTTTCTATATGCAGCAGAGACAGAACGACGCTGCTGCAGCGGCCTGCCGTACGCACGGCAGTAGTGGCGTAGGTAGGGGTCCTGAGATCGAGTCACAGAAGCAAATGCTGTTGCTGCTGCTGCGTCTCTATATCATTTGGTGCTGCAGCACCGTAAGGGCAGCAGCAGCAGCAGCATCAATACAGCGGGAGAAGCACGAACAGCAGCAGATCCACCGCAAAAGCAGCCACAGCAAGAACTCCACTGCGGCAACAGCAACACCGGCCTAGCTTGCATCCAAGCAGCAGCAGCAGCAGCAGCAGCAGCAGCAACAGCAGCAGCATATGATGTATACTTATGTTTACCCTTATGCCGAGGGCGCAGACTGCCAGGCTC